CCCCTCTCTCATTTTTCTCCCACTTTTCCACCCCCCTGACTTCCCCCTCCCCAAGTTGTAAAGTTCATTTCCAACATAGTATCTTGTGTCACCGTTGCATTAGTTCACCCTTTGTCCTTTGTCTCGCCATTTTGTTGACCCCTTTTCCTTCCCCAAATCAGATAAATATACATACAAGACACAGGTTACCAAAATCAAAAATAGTGACAACAGGGGATAAACAAAGGAAAAAATGAAAGAAAAAATAACTTCAGACATTACATTAAAAGCAACAACAAAGAAACCCCTCTTGTTTCCATATCTTGGAGTTCATTTCACTTAGCATCATCTTATACGGTCAAATGTACATAGCTAATGAGCTATTGTGATCCTCTGCTAGGACTATCCTAGACCTATACTAATTATTACAAATGAGGGAAAACATGGAGCCATGGCTTACTTCACTTAATAGGATTTTTTCCAAGTCTTTCAATTCCCTTACAAATGGGGCAATGTCATTCTTTCTGATGGAAGCATAGAATTCCATTGTGTATATATACTACATTTTCTTGATCCATTCATCTACTGAGGGGCATCTAAGTTGATTCCATATCTTAGCTATGACAAATAATACTGCAATGAACATGGTTGTGCTTGTAGCTTTAGTATGGCCTTATATGTGGTCATTTGGATGAATACCCAGGGATCACTTCTTCTTCTAACTGCTTTGCAGCATGGCCCACACAGCTCATCTGTGGTTTCTGACTCACTAGAGCTTTTTTTTCCTTTATTTATCTTTATGACAGGTTAGTCTTGAACTCATGTTCTTTCTATCCAAGCCCTAAGCTTGAAGTATTTTAAAGCTTGGTTTTTAGTATCTCTTATCCAGTAAGATTGCAAATGTTTTAAGGATAAAGGTCTTCTAATTCTCTATACTCTTAATAATGCCAGCTTGGTAAATATTTAATCTGATAATTAGCAAATCCAATAAACTCATTACACTAGTCTGTTTCTGCAGGTGACCTGTATATAAATATAAATTTCTACATGATGATTATCTGGTTTATTTTCTCCCTTTTTGTTTCTTTATAGTTAAACATAGAGGTTATGCCATTTGTTACTGTCAAGCTTAATTAAGCCCATTATAATTCGTTAATCCCTATGCTTGCTTTTTAATTAACATTGATTAACACAAACAAGTATAAAATAGGCCATCAGCACTTTGCTGAAGTGCTGATTTGGATTGTATTGGTAATCCAATACAGTGTAGAAAATGGCAGGATAGTCATTTGTGATCTACTTACATAAGGAGACAAATGCTACATTACAAAACTAAGCCAAGAAACAAAATACCGTATTCATTTTGTCTGATTAAACCTTTACCCTGGTTAACTCACCCTGTGATGGTTTTAAACCTTGAGTATGATTGCTGAAAGCACAGTTCCAAGGAGCTTGCTTCATTTCATTTTTGGTACAAAAGAGGGAGGTGTTTTGAAGTGGACAGATGGATAGTGGAGGGTCAGTCATCACAAAGCAGCCCCTTGGGCTCACCATGGATAACTGTGGGCCAAGGTCTCATTTTGTAGTTCTGGGAGCAAGTCCAGAATTTGATGGAAGCAGGTTAAACAAGAATGCTCAGCAATGAGTGCCTTCAGAGACGTTGACAAGGAAAAACTTTTAACAACCTACAAATGAATTCTCTCTGCCTGCTCACCAGCCCTTTCTCCCCTAAAAATATCCTCTATTCTAGATCCTGTGTTTAGGTTTCCTTGCCCCCTGAGTTCAGAGGTCGTGCATGTTCTAGCACACATGTGAAGAAAGTCCCAGCGCTCACACGTGCATGGGTTGCTGGAGAGAAGGATACATTTGAACTTTTGCATGTTCCCAGCTTTTCAGCTTGACTGCTGAGGAGCTGCAGGCGTTTTCATTCTGTACAAAGTAAGTGAGACTCTGCTTCACTGCCCTCCAGGGATGGATTAACAGAATTGATATCATCCAAATCAATTGACTCCAAGCAGATGACTTGATAATGAGGTCACAGAGTTATCACTACACATGGTTGCTGCCCCAGCAAGTGCACTATGGAAACCATTCAGATACATCATTTGAATTCTCCCCAGCAAATAGCATTCTCTGGTAAATACATTTGTGTGCATTTGTGTACAACTCCCTATGTGTTTACTTGTACATTTATAAAGTAGATCTATATTTTATATATTAGAACTAAAGATTTTCTGTCTCTGTCTGTGTTTGTGTGTGTGTGTGTGTGTGTCTCTCTCTCTCTCTCACACACACACACATACACACACACATTTTTGGGGAAATGCCATTACTGGGACTTGAACTCAAGGGCTTACACTCTTGCTTAGTATTTTCACTCAAGGCTGGCACTCTACCACTTGAACCACAGCTCCACTTTTGGCTTTTTGATGTTTAATTAAAGAGACTCCTGTACTGTAATGGCTGGCTGGTTTCTGAGGTGCTCAGATCTCAGCCTCCTGAGTAGCTAGGATTATAGATGTGAGCCATCAGTGACCAGCTAAAATAGGGTGCTTTGAAGTCATTGTTGACAGATTTGTAATGCTCATGACAACCCTGGAAATAGCAAAACGTTAGTAAACATGTAGTCACATGGATGAAATCTACTAGGTAAAAAATTATGGAATAATTTGTGAAGGGCTATACCACTAAGTGTGTAAGCTGGAGTCTCAGTCTAAATTTCTGTGGTCCTGGAGCTCATCCGCTCACTTCAGACCCTTCTCCCCAGTGGAGATCTGCTAGAGAAATTACTAGAAATGGAAAAGCAGCTGTCAAAAGCAAAACTGAATACAGACCTATGAAAAAAACCTCAAATGAACATTGATATTAACCAGACAATGACACTGGTGACATTTACCTTTGGTGTGCAAATCATTCCCTTCCAGCATTATAAAACACCATACTCAGGGGGCTCAAATCAATTCTAACAGAGGTATGAAGCCATTCTTTCCACTCTCTCTCTCTCTCTCTCTCTCTCTGTCTCTCTCCACACACTCTCTCTCTCTCCTTTCTCTCTCTCTTTCCATCTCTTTCTCTGTCTCATATTCTCCCTTCTTTTTCTAACTCTTTCTTTCCCATTAGTATTAATTATATCTGGAAATTTTTTGTTAAAATGTTATAAACTGCATTCACTGGTTGTGGAGAGTATATAGATTTTATATGCATAACTGCATACTTAGTTTCATGTGGCTTAACCCATCTTAGACCATTTTCTACGACTACCACACAATATCTGAGAACAAGTAGTTTGTAGAGACTTACTTTGTTTCACAGCTCCACAGAATGGGAAATCTAAGAGCATAAAGTCAACATCTACGTAGTTTTTGGTGAGAAGTTCACACTGCTTCAGCTCATGCCAGAAAGCAAAAGGACAGCATATTTAAAAGAGACAAAGTGCCAGGGGCTGATGGTTCACAACTATAATCCTAGCTATTCAAGAGTCTGAGATCTGAGGATCGCAGTTCAAAGCCAGCCAGTGCAGGAAACTCCATGAAACTCTTATCTCCAATAAACCACTCAGAAAACTGGAAGTGGTACGGTGGCTCAAGTGGTAGAACACCACTCTTGAGCTGAAGAGCTGAGGGAGAGTGCCCAGACGCAAAGTTCAAGCCCCACGACAGAGAGAGAGAGAGAGAGAGACTAAGTACATATGGTTATATTGCTTTTATAACATCTCTCAGGAAGAACTACTGTATTTTTGTTAGGGAGAGATGCTTCATTTTTGCAAGGCAGCATTAGTCTATCCATGAGGGCTGCACCCCCATTACCCATTTTTCCATTGGGTCCCACTTCCCAACTGCTGCACTGAGGAATTACGCTTCAATGAGTGTCTGGATGGGAACAAACCCTATTCAAACCATTGCAATAATTATGGGACCATCACCCAGATACAATTCAGAACAGGAAAGTGTTCTCAAAGTACAGGCTTTTTAGCTTAAGGTCTGGTATTGATAAGTTTAATTTTCCTATAGTAATGAGTTTTAGTATACCATTCTACAAATTTTGACAAAGGTGATTTCATAGCTGCCAACAGTCAAGATATACAAAGATACCATCCAGCTTCCTCCTGGCCAATTCTCCATTATCCCTGACCCCCGGCAGTCACTCTACCACTTCCTTCCTTGCTCCTATAGGTTTGCTGTTTCCAGAAGGTCACCTACACAGAATCATCCAATCTGTGGTCTTTGGAGTTTATTTGATATTCATCTGTGAGGTTGCATGCGCTGGCTTTTTTAATTATACCACAGCTGGATTATCTATTCGCCAGTTAAAGGACAATTCAGTTGTTTCCAATTTTGATCAGTTATAAATGAATCCATTAGAACTGTTCCTATGCCTGGTTTTGTGTGACCCTGTTTTCATCTCTTTTGAGTAAAGCCCTAGGAAATAGTATTTCTTGGTTTATGTTAACTGCAGCTTTATTCCTATAAAAGTAAAAAACATTCCCAGAGTGGATGCATCATTTGGCAAAGCGATTAGCAATGTATGCGAGTTTTACTGGTTTCAAATTCTCACCAGTACTTGGCATTACCATTTTCTCTTTATTTTAAGCAATTATTTCCTTTAGCTGCAGGGCACAAAATTCAGAAGATATTAAGATAATATCTTATAAAATGAAGATAATACCGTATTATTAAACATGTCATAAAATTGAGAAACCTTAGTATTATTAAAATATACCATGAAATAATTGCTATCACTTTTATGAATTAGTAATATAAAACTATGCCATTGCTCCTCACCTTCCTTTCTAAAAAAAAATTCCTCTTCATAGTAAACCTGACCTGGGCCCACCCCTTCCCTGGCAACAAATGGAGTTAGATGTCCCTAGAGCAGCCTCTGTTCTGTCCGGCCTGCAGTTAACCTCTCCCCACCCCACACCTCACTAGAATTAGTCCTAAGACAATGCCACCCAGCTGTCAAGGCCCAAAGTGCATTGTAGAGGACAAGCGTCCACTTCTCCAAGTGGAAGCTGCTAGGTTTTAGGCAATAATTATCTCTAACACGTCATTCCCATCCGTCCTGTAGAACAATGGGAAGCAGGGGTGGTCGTCCAAGCCTGCAAGCTCTAGCAGGTGCTGGGTATTAGGCTGCGCCAGCGCGAGCTGATCTGTAGAGCGGTCCTTGAGGGGCCAAGGCACCACAGCCTCTCTCTGGGCTGCCTCTAGGTTGTCTTCAAACTTCACATCTCCAAAGGCTTGCCGCTCCTCCAAAACTTCCATGTTGGTGGGGCCTGGGACGTCTGAGGCGGCCTCAGCAGCAGGGGTCTGCATGGCTGCCCGGATCTGGCCTTGGTGCCCTGCGCCCTCACCTGCAAGGCGCCACAGCAGCTCCTGCAGCTCTTCCTTCTTTTCCTGCTTCTCCTGGGCCAGCTCATCCAGGTTCGCCATCTGTCCATCAGAGAATACAGTGGCCTCTGCAATGGCGATCATGTGTTCTGACAGCTGGCTGCATCCATGTTGGAGTTCATCCGATTGCTTCTGATAGTCCACCTCGCGGGGCAGGTTGTGGGTGAAGCAGATTTTCAGCTTTTTCTTGGGTGCCTGCGTGTCCTGCTTTCTCTCCCCAGCAACGTTGTGGTTCCGGCTCTCTGGGAAGCGGGTCTGGCGCTCCAGCTTTATCTGGCACTGGGCTGCCAGGTTAGCCAGGCAACTGCAGCGGGCCTGCTGCTCCCGCAGCTGCCGGCTGAGCCTCTCCTTCTTTGATTCAGCAACATGCATCGCGTCAAGGTAAAAATCCCACATGGTTTGTGGGTTGTCTACGTCCTCGGGGACAGTCACATCAGGTGGAGTCACCTCCTCACCCTTCTCTGCTTTGTCCACTCCTTTGCCTTCCCTAGGGAAAGCCAGGAAGCTCAGCTGGGCCCTCAGCTGCTCATTCTGATGTCTGGTGACTTTCAGACTTTTCAGAGTGTTCTGTAACTTTCGACAGACCCTGTGGCTCTTCACCTGCTCCTGCTTCAGCTGCTCCAGCAGCTGGGTCTGATTCAGCAGGTACTGCTGCAGGGCCTCCTTCTCTGAGATCAGCTGCTCAATGGAGGCCATGTGCTGTTCACAGGTGGCTCTGAGCTCCTGCAGCTGGGCTAGGGACTGGTCATGCTGTTCCTGCAGATTCTGAGCTGCTTGGCTCTTTGACTCAGCCATCTCTTCCAAGTCTCCTAACTTCTTCTCTAGCTGGCCCAGCTTCTCCTGCAGATGTTTCTTCACCTGCTGCTCTGAGCGCAACACACTGGTGAGTTCCTCCTTCTCACCGCTCAGCCTGTGGAAGGCGTCCTGCAGCTGAGCCAGCTGATCTTTCAGCTCTCGGTTGTGCAATAAAGTACATCTTGTGGTCTCATGGTCTCTTTCCATTGTCTCAAGGATCCTGTGTTGATCCCAGGCATGTTGATTCCACACCTTGGCCTGCTGCTCCAGAAACCACAGCCGCTCCTGCTGCTCCAGATTCTGGAGATGGAGGCTCTGGTTTTCCCGTACCTGGATGTAAAGTTGCTCTTCCAGGTTCTCGAGCTTCTTCTGCATCTGATAGGCCTGGGCCTGCAGCTGCTGCTCAGCCTGAGATGGTCCTACGGGGAGCAGAGGGGGCAGCAGCTCTGCCAGCTGCTTTCTCAGTTCTAGCAGGTTTGTCCCTTGGCCTTTGTCCTCTCTCAGTTGGCTCATCTTCTCCAAGAACTGTTGGACATTCCACATGGAGCTCTCCACCCTCAGCTTCTCTGCAATGCTATCTCTCTCCAATCTTAATGCTGTCACTAAATCCTTCATGCTCTGTAGCTCTCTCTCCAGCTCTGCCCGTTCCTCTATTGCCTTTTGTTGGTTATGTCGAGATGGAGATTCCCTAGAGAATTGAAGGAGGAGGACTTCCGACATGTTGTTACTTATTCCAGTGTCTATGGAAAGGACACTGGCAGGGAAGGACACAGCAGGAAGCTCAGGGTCAGTGTCTTTGGTCATACCCTTGGTTGATTTCTGATCCCCAGTGATGTTTGCCTTGAGGTTACCTCCCTTCTTAGTTTTCTTCTTTCTGTTGGCTTCAGTGGACCCATCAGGACAATTCCTCTCCAGGAATTCTTGCAATAGTTTCTGTCCTGCATCTGTTTCTTTCTGTCTTGTCTGCCCAGACATGCCAGGGATGGGATGGAGAAGGTTGGGTGGAGGACACATTCCCAAGCTCCCTGAAATCACTTTTATTCTGGCTCAAACACCACTATGTCTACTTCCTACAGAATCTCCTTAATCACCTCCAGTCTCACTACTACCAAGAACCTCTACCTCCCTCAACTGCTGGTATGGTGTGAGCTAATAGAGGGGAATACCAGTGGCACTGAGCAGCATGGAATGTGGGTGTGGCCTCAATTCTTGTATCCTATTGGTCAGAGAAGCATGAAAGAAAAGGGGCGTGGCCAGATCCTTGTGATCAGGCAGAATGGGTGGAGTTATGATGAAAGCTGCTCCTGCCACTCCTCCCCATCCACACTGCTGGATATTTTCTTTTTTCTTTTCTTTTTTTTTTTGTCGGTCGTGGGGCTTGAACTCTGGGCCTGGGCGCTGTCCCTCAGCTCTTCAGCTCAAGGCGAGCGCTCTTCCACTTGATCTACAGTGCCACTTCCGGTTTTCTGGTGGTTTATTGGAGATAGGAGTCTCACGGTCTCTCCTGCCCGGGCTGGCTTTGAACTGCGATCCTCAGATCTCAGCCTCCTGAGTAGCTAGGATTACAGGCGTGAGCCACCAGCGCCCGGCTCTGCTGGATATTTTCACAGCTCTACTAGAGGCTGTTCAAGACGAGGACCTCCACCACACACAATGATAGTCATGGAGTACTTCTGAGAGAGATCACTCTCAGGCTACTTCCCTAGACCTTCTTGTACTGCAGATTCTCAGTACCAGGCTTGGGGGGTGACAGGGAGGGAATCAGGCCCCAGAGCTCAGGTGGCAAGTGAATAACAAGCAGCAGTGTATCACTTTACAGTCTCTTCATTTCACAACTTGGCCCCATATTTTCGTGTATTAGAATTGGCCTCCAATGTGTTTACCATCCAGTCCTCCAGATGGTCCCAGGTGCACCACTCCACCCCTCCTTAGCAGAAAGTTCCTGATCCTGGAAGTAAATCTATCCTTCTCCTACCTGGATCCAGTCCTGAGTCCTGAATCCATTTCCTAGCTACTGCTCCTCTCTCACCGCTAGTGTACAAGCTGTTTCCATAACAGAGGCTGTTGCATCCAACCATCTTTTTTCTAGGGGACTGAATCAGAACTGAAAAGTTGCCAGAGGCTTCCAATACACAGCATGTGAATGTTCTTCCCTTTGATCCTGACCTAAATGCAGCCCACCTATCTCAGCTCTCTTCAAGATCTTCCCCTCAGTAACGGCTTAATAACCACATGTGATTCACTGTGGCTATCATATTGGGTTCACCTAGACATTCCATTCATTTTCCTGACTCCCAATAAAAGGATACTTCAGCACAAGTAGCCGATTCTAAAATTCATGTTCTTAGTGCTGGTTTAAATGTAAACTAGAAAATACAATAAACAGTTTACAAGCACTTTATATACAATAATCTCACTTAATCCCAATCTTTTTCGGTTTATGCATGTTTGATTGACAAGAAAAGACTCTCTTAAACTTTGTCAAATGGGGTTACATATTCCTTGAGCCAGCGAGCATTTATAATCTGCTTTTACCTGTTGTTATTGTAAGAAAAAGCAGTCTTTTCTATCAAACCAAAATGTCTCCATCTTGTAACCTGGCATCATTATGCACTGGTATTTCTTGGTAGTTATATTTTCTGGACTTATTTGCTTTTTGACTTCAAACTGTAGCTGTCAGCCATGTTGTTTGTAACCAGCCAGCCATGCCAAGACTATGAGTCCTTTCCAACAAAATTAAAAAACCACCGCCCTCCAAGTGGTAACTTTTTCACTGATAGATAGAATGCTTTCTAGCCCCCTTAAAGCACGCGCCCCCCGTCCCTCCAGCCAATCACAGCATGTGGGCTCCACTGGGAGAGGGGACAGCACCACTATTTGTTTAGAGTGGAAGCCAAGTGGGCCATCCTGTCTGGTGTGCCTGCTTAACTCTGGATAGAGGGGCTGCCTACCCTTCTGCACAGAAGTAAATTGCCTTGATTAGATTTCCTTTATCTCTTGTGTGTCTAATTTTCTGAGAGTAAAGGGTTAATTTCTCGTGTGTCTCATTTTGCCAGGGATGTTCATGTGCTTCCAGTGATTGGAGGTTCATCTAGGATCCACATCCATCCAGGAAGGTCAGCCAGGCTTCCTTTCCAGGGCAATGCATCCTGCTGCCCAGTTGTAGCAGCCCCAGGACTGGGCCAGCATTAATGACTTCCCCGATCAGCAAATGAACTCGACCCTTGGAAATTTTCACAAATGTGCATAAAAGAGCTCTAAAAGTCAGGCATCAGTGGCTCTGAGATCTGACAATGACTGTTCCAAGCCAGCCTTTGCCCACGAAGCCCCTACCTTTCTGGGTTAAGGCCAGCTGCACCTGCTCTTGATTCTGCAGGCTCCTGGCCACTTGACTGCTGTGACTGCTGCTGCACATTAGATTCAGTTTGGCATCAGAGGAGACTGCCAGGCTAGAGATGACCAGTTGTCCTAGGATCTGCTGGCCCAGGACAGTCCAGATTTAGCCACATTCAGCCAGGGAGCCTGGCTAGAGCACTTACTGGCAAAGCCAAAGCAAAGCTCTTAAAGGTCAATTTTAAACTAACTAACTTTATATGAGAAGAACTTGCCTCATAGTAACATTCCATCTGCAATGATGTCTACTTATTCAGTACAGTTTTGATTAGCATTGATATCAATTTCCCTAGACAGAACTAGATTTTCTTTTCCTGGTGCCCCCCAGTAGATTCTGCCTGAAGGTTATAACTCCTTGCTTCCCTTTGACATCATTAAAGCACCCAACAACCTTCTTCTTTTCACCCTGAGTGAAACATTGCTATAGCTTCTACTGTCAAGAATATGCCTATGAAGACACTTCTAAAGCTGGCCACCAGTGGTCAGAGATTTGCCCGCCCAAGTTGGTTTTGAACTGTGATTCTCAGATCCTAGCCTCCTGAGTAGCTAGGCTTGCAGAGATGGGTCCGGTTTTACAAATAAAATGGCTTGAGTTGGCTGATTTTGTTTTGTTTGTTTGTTTTTGGTAATTAGGCAGAGAAACAAAATTCTATATCTGATCCAACTGCTGACTTTTCCTTTGCTTTGTCCTTGGCTGGAGGTGTGTGTGTGTGTGTGTGTGTGTGTGTGTGTGTGTGTGTGTGTGTATGTGTGTGTGTGTGTGTGTGTTCCAGTCCTGGAGCTTGAACTCAGGGCCTGAATACTGCCCCTGAGCTTTTCTTGCTCAAGACCAGCACTTTACACCACTTCCAGCCTTTTTTGTTTATGTGGTACTGAAGAATGAAATCCAGGCTTCATGCAAGCCAGGCGAGCACTCCACCACTAAGCAATATTCCCAGCCTTGGCTGAAGCTTTGGCACGGCTGAAGTAGGTTACAAATGCCTTGACAGATGGATGAACCAAAAAAGCCTTGATCTTTACAGCAGGTGGGACACTGACTAAGCTGGGAGCCACTTGAACCCATTGATGATAGAATGGAGTACTGATCAAACACTTGGGTAGCCAGTCTGCAAACATATGCTGACAGTATGGGAGTGGCCCTCCAAGAAGCAGGTATGCAGAGTTTGCTTTGTGATGGCAAGCACTTTTCCTGTAGAAGCAGCCACTGTCACCTGTCAGTTGGATGATCAGTTGCAGAAGGAAGTCAAAGGTACTTGTTGATATGTTCAGCTATGACTTCCCCACAACCACTCTGTCTCTAGTCTTAGCTGCACATCACTCAAGATTTCAGTGGTAACAGTTTATGTTGTACCAGTTCTAGGGCTTGAACTCGGAGTCTAGGTACCACCCCTAAACATTTTTTGCACAAGGCTAGTGCTTTACCACTTGAGCCACAGTCTCTACTTCCAGATTTTTGCTGGTTAATTGGAGATAAGAGTCTCATGATCCTCAGATCTTAAGCTTTCTGAGTAGATAGGATGACAGGTGTAAACCATTAGCACCTGGCTAGTGATTTTTTTTTAATGTAGCTGAATTTATCTCTTAAAAAATTAATTCAGGGTTCTGGGCTGGGAAGGTGGCTCAGTGGTAGAGCACTTGCCTTGCATGCCTGAGGCCCTGGGTTTGATTCCCCAGCACCACATAAGCAAAAAGAAAAAAGCCGGAGTGGCGCTGTGGCTCAAGTGGTAGAGCTCTAGCCTTGAGCTAAAGAGCTGAGGGACAGCGCCCAGGCCCAGAGTTCAGGCCCCACGACCGGACCAAAAAAAAAATTAATTCAGGGTTTTGTGCCATTAGAGGCACTTCCCATGACAACATTATAAAATAAATCCTTTCATGGTTTTCTTTTCCATAGTAATAACTATGAGGAGCCTACAATGTGGTTTATTTTAATATGATTTCTGGTTATCTTTGCACTCTAAAATCAAATATATTCCCCCACTGATTTTAAATCTTGGCTACATCATATACATATACATACACACATATAAACATGCAGAAATTCATTTTCACTTAAAATGAGCACCTATAAATTCTAATTTCAATTTGATAGATCCTGAGCTTCCATTGATACTCATACCACTTCAGAGTTTCTTTTTGCAGTATATCTAATTTGCCAGAGAAGACAGCTAAGTACCGAGGCATTCAGACTATTCTGATCAAAGCCTACCTATCATAATAGTCTGGATGCAAATTAACAGGGAAGGAATTCAGTCTTGGGAAATTGTTACTGAAACTGGATTTGGGCTCTGTAAGAAACATATTGGTGGTCCATTTTCAAAGCTGGGTATCAAGACCTGATCCTGAGTTTAAAATTGCTAGGAAATTGCTCGCAAAGTGAGCTAGGTATCTGACCTGACCCAGAGTTCATCATGACAATTGTAAAGTTCGTATACCTGGAAAAGTTCCCAAGCAAACAGAATGTCAGGGAGAGGACAGCTCATGAGGAAATTCAAAGAAAATATCATTGTAAAAAAATAAAAACTTAAAATGGGAAGAAAGAGAGAAAGGAACCTTATGATGAAACAGTGAAACTTAGGCAGTATCTGGGAAGATTGTATACCCCCAAAGTACTCAGCTAATGA